TAAGTGGCCGGCCTCTATGTAGAAAAAGAGAGAAAATGTATCACCCAATTTCTATTAGAAAACCCCTATTGAGAAAATTGCTATAAAGTTGCTTTTATAACATTTTCTTTGGTGAGTGGCAAACTTGTAATTAAGCAAGCTTGCCCATTCACCCTAATGGCCGGCCTCTCCTTGTTATTGGGCTAATTTGCCCATTTTGTTTTAGTTGTCATACAACTTAAACATAATGGGCCTTGTGGACCAAAACACTTTTGGGCCCCGAACCCAAAACCAACATATGAGCCCAATACGAACCTTTCGTATAATTAATTAACTAATTAATTAATCTTGACCATTCTTCAATTAAACCATTTAATTGCTTATCCATTTCATATAATTTCTTCACTAACATCCTTATGTGGTGTGCGATCCATTAGGTTCCAATTAGCGAGGCAGTGGGCGATGTTACTCTTAACGATCGATTGTGAATTGAAACCACATTTCAATTCTCCCTTAAGATTAGTGCTTGCTAATCTTCAGGGCTTCCACAAACCATGAGTGACACCTAGCAGCATATCATGGTTACCCAAGCTAAGTAGAATTGGTTGGAGAACCTATCCAGTTACAACTACAATGCAATACGGTCCTTCTCTAATACAATACTCTTAATCACATTGTTTAAGTGATAGTTTGTTTCATGTCTACTATCCAATGTGATACTTTCTTATATGATTCTTTTGAATATGATTTGGAACAAACTTCCTAAGTCATATTCATATGCTTTGGCCAAAGACTTTAGAATCATATCTTAGAGTATTCTCCTTCCACCATGGAAGGTTAGAGATCCCTTGTTGTGCATTCATATGCCTACATGACTAGATAGCTTGACCCCAACAATGCCGTGGACAATCCGAAGGAATGCCATTGACATGATCAAAGATCAAGAACCTAACCATTAGACATCTATGATGCCTCAGGTCAAAGGACTACTTTGCATATTGCAACTTTAGAGTTCATACATGACATGTATGTTCGAACTCTCTTTTGATCGATGTTCAGTGTACTCGATTACTCTTTCGAGCACCTATGTGTTTGTCTCAGTGTCCAACACCAAATGACTTGAGACTAGTTCATACTCACGTTTGAGTCAACATAACACATACTAACCTTAGCGGATTGTCAATGCCCAATTGGCAATCCTATGGCTAGGAACGTTTTAGGAATGAACATAAGAGAGAGGTCTCGATAATCTAACTCATTAGATCACTCTCTCTTAGAACAAATACATTCCTTGGATTCCCTTATTGCTTAAACACATGATACAATAAATAGTGATTAACAATAAGCTTTGCCCTTCATTAAACATATAAAAGTTTAATACAATAAGTATTCCAAAAAGCTATTACATCAAATGAGTGGCTTTGTGGGCATACTTCCAACAAAGTCCAATTGGATTAAGTGTGTACCATCCCATTCATAAACAAATGATATCAGACTTCGTCTAGTGTCATCTAAATACACTGGTGGATCCATTAAGGGGCAAGGGGGGGTTAGCTGACCCCCTGAACTTGGATGAACGTCCATAGATACCTTAGGTGCTGACCCTCCGAACTTTAATGAATGTCCATGGATACCTTGAGTGCTATTCTTTTGAAGATTAGAGTTGGCTTCATACATGCCCTCCAACCGACTTCAGGCCTACCAAAACTTGATGAATGTTCATGAATACCTTGAGTGCTGCCCCTTGCATACATTAACAGGTGTGTAGTATGCATTTTCAAATGACTTCAGGCTTACCAAGACTCAATGAAATAGCGATATGCATGCTATTTCTGGAATAAAAAAATTTGCACGCGTAGCGCGCTATTCTTACTGACCCTCTTAATATCATTTCCTGGATCCGCCACTGTCTAAATACAGTTGTTGTGTTTCACACATGGAAACCTAATACAATTTTGAGGACTGACATGATTGCTTGCAAATTGAATTAACTTGTCAATCCCATCCACATATTGGTCACAACTTCTATCTTGTAACTTTATCCACTATTTGTCATTGTGTCTGTTTTCATAGAATTTAGTCCTCATAATAATTTGATGTACGCTTGATCGGCCTCTTATGCCTTCAATAATGATCCTATTCCATTCGAAAGTCACTTTTTGTGTTGTGATTTGCTATTCACTCGATTATTTCTGATCGCAACAAATGCAACGACATCTCCCTAGGCTTCCCTAAGTGCACGGTGTAGGTATCAGAAACAAATATATAGTCTAATCACATATCTAACAGACTCTTAAATGGGTCAAGGTTTTTTCGAATTTATTATACGAAGTTAATCAATAACACAGAAACTCAAAATTTCACATAACTCACAATTTCCTAGGCTAATGCTACATACATTAATTTCTCATAAGCAACATATATTTCAATAACACAGAAACTCAAATTTCACATAACTCACAATTTTCACATACATATATATCACAATTATATAATTGAAACTTACTAATTTATAATTAAGAAACAAATAAATACCTTTCCTTTCATTCTTCCAATCCAATCGCAAACCTACAACAATTAAAATTAATTAATTATACAATTAATTGGGAGAGGGAGAGATAAAAGAGAGGGTGTGAGTGTGAGAGACAAATTTTGCGGAGGAAGAGAAAGCAGCAACGTTGGGGAAGAAGGAAGAAAAGAAAGGAGATGGGAGAAAGAAGAAGGCACGGACCTTTTTGATGAATAGGGGTTTGCTTGACAAACTATTTTGTCGAGCAAACATACAAAAGACGTCGAGCAAAATATTTGTTGGTGATTTTTTTTACAGGTTGTTGTGGACCTTTACCCAACAGCGTGTTTACACTTAACTCCATGAAATGTGCAGTTAGGTCAAGGACCTCAAGTTGAAGAACAATATTTCGCCGGGCAAACCTTTACAAAATACATGCCATTTTTTTCCTTCGGCCAAATGTTTACCCGCCGCTTTTGTTCTTACCCTTCGAATTTCATCGCGCAAAGTCTTTGGGAAAACCTTAAATATTGACCAGCTTTGCCCAACCATTTGGAAGTTTCGTCGGGTAAAATCACTTAGTCCGACCAAATATAGTTCGCTAGATCCACAGTACCAAACAAGGTGGAGCTTTTAGTGGGATAAACCTTCAATGAACCCTAAAAATATTAAGGTGTGCCTGCTATTACAACAGCCAAAACAACTATAGATGACAAGGAAAGCTTAGCAGAGTATATCCACTGCTAACTGATTTTGGGTATGTGTGAATGCCTAAGGGACATTTATTTGGGTCTGTGTTAAAGGCTCCATCTATGTCGGAGATGCAACAATTTTTGGGTTAGAAACCGATATTTTACGATAATTTTTTGTTAGTTTGGGTGGTTACTTGTCTCGGGTTTTCGGGTGGCTAGTTGTTAGTTTGGGTGGCTAAGCCTTACAATGGGCTTGTCATAATAATGTGGTTTAACTTCGCCTTTGGCGAGAATCAAACCTAAGACCTCTCACTTACAAATGAAGAAGAATACCAAACACTTTACAAATTTTGTTTTCACTAAACGGTCTAAAAATCCCAATTCCATAGGGCAGGCCACCTGATGCATCGAAGGTTCCTGGTCACACAAAGAATCCAATTTTTTAAAATGTCTCCAACAAAAACAAACTTGATCTTCTAGAGGGTATGTGTCATTTGTTTATATATGTTGTACTTAACTATCAAATTCTTTTGAATCATTCTGCAGGGCAATGTCGTCCGTAGGTAGAACCAATGCTTGACTAGAGTACTCTATGAACTTCCATTGATCTCAAGTTGATCTAGTTCCCTATAAATATTCAACTTTTCAATTTATTTGGGCAACCAAATCAATTGAGCTCATCCTTTCAACACAACCAACTTCACAGAGTAAACCTAAAAGTAACTCAATACTAGTTGTGATGACTTCTTCCTGGCTCTTCATAATCCTTACTGTTCTTGCAACTTTTGCACCTTCGATTTTGGCCACAGATTATGTTGTTGGTGACGACAAAGGGTGGACAATTAATTTCGATTACCAAGCTTGGGCTTGGGGAAATATGTTCTTTGTTGGCGACAACCTTGGTAAATTTATAAAAACATAACCTAAGTATTATTATGGTGTTTGTAGTTTTAGCGAAGTTCAACTTTAGTCCATGTAGTTTCAGTTTTTACGATTTAAGTCCATGTAGTTTAAATAATCGTCAGAATTCTTGTCAGAATTCTTGTATATCATTTCATTACTCATCCATTATTTCGTGATCTTTGATGTTATGCAATTTTTAACTATCCAAAAGGAGTTCACAACGTGTACAAAGTGAATGGCACTGGCTTTCAAGAATGTTTAGCTCCATTGGACTCTGTGCCATTAACAAGTGGAAAGGATGTGATGAACCTTGCAACCTTCGGAAGAAAATGGTACATTTGCGGTGTTTCGCGGCATTGTTTAGATGTCGGCCAGAAGCTTGCTATAACTGTGTTTCCATCATCATTCGCACCTAGCCCTAGCCCCATCTCAGAAAAGAGCGACCGAAAGTTTTCTGCTCCTAGCCTTAGTCCCACCTAGGGATACATCAACTAATGTTAAAGGTGCTCCACTAACAGTATAGCCTGGAAAGAAGGAATGTTAACATGGATAGAACATTCCTTGACAGCTAGGTTAGCATGTGAAGATGTATCATTGTTCTGGACAACAAGGACACATGCATCGTGGACAGCAAGGTCACTGTATATGTATTCTGACTGCTGCATCTTGGACAACAAGGAAGCCACTTCCAGTGTTTTTGTTTATTGCATGTGTGTGTAATAAAATGTATATAAACTCTGCTGCAATTGTAGCAGAACATCAATTCAAAAACATATATTGGATCCAAGTTTTAATATGGTATTAGAGCGGTTCTAATCCTTGCTCTACTCTGCCTTCATTCTTCTGCTGCCATAACCACCGTAGTCCCCCCTTCATAACCACTACATATATCTCCCACAAACATCACTGTCAACACCATGACAGACTCAACCCAAAATACCAAATCTGATGAGGAATTCTCAGACCCATACACCATGCACCACTCAGATCATACGGGGCTTATCCTGGTTTCCAAACACTTTACGGAAACAACTACTGGTAATGGAGCCGTGCCATGTGCATGGGTATCAGCGCAAAGAATAAGATTGGGTTCATTGATGGAACCATCAAAGCTCCACCACTCTTGGACACAAAGTACACAGCTTGGAAGATGCAACGACATGGTCACATTGTGGATTGTGAACTCAGTTCACTCGGACATAGCCAGCATCATCATTTACACCGAAACTGCTGTTACAGTTTGGAACGATCTCAAGGACAGGTTCTCACAAAGCAGTGACTTAAGGATTTACCAAATTCGACAAGAAATTGTTGAGAATTGTCAAGAGCAGCTTTCAGTTTTTGTCTATTACACCAAGATGAAGGCCTTGTGGGATGAGTTAGCATCCTACCATGATCCACTTGTGCAAGTTTGAAGGGGCTTGCTAAACAGGAAGAGAAAGAAAGAGTCATGCAATTTCTGATGGGACTGAACGACTCTTACTCAACTGTACGAGGCTCGGTTCTGTTGATGAGCCCACTTCCTGACACACGCCGAGTTCATGGTCTTATTCTCCAATATGAACGACAAATAGTTGTGGTCAATCGACGCGATATAGGAACAAACTCCCATGTAATGCAGGTTCAACAAGCTTCAGTGTCGCAATTGACTAACAACAAGCACTTCAACACATCTTCACGTAAGTCACTTAAGTGCACTTACTATGATGAAGATGGACACTTAGTAGACCGCTGTAAGTGACAAGAGCTTTGCATTGTAAAGTGACATTCTATTCCAATTTTTGTGTTGTGCATGACATGGACACGAAGAGGGTGATTGGCCTGGGCAAGCATTTTGATGGTGATAGGAGCATATTCATGCGACTTAAATGGCTTGTTCTCGTACTTTTACGTTATGTTTCTTTAGTTATTTTAGTCCTTTATGCTTCTTTTGTGTGTTTTCAGGTTCTAAGGGCTTAAGGAGCAAAGAAGTGCATTTAGAGGCCTTTGTGGAGCACTATTGGGCTAAGGATGGATAGCTTAGGCTTGGAGCCAAAATGTTGGATGAAATTGAAGGCCTTGTATGCACTTGAGGACACAAAACAATGGCCTTAACCCAATTACACAACCTTGCCATGGGCTTAACCATATAACACCATTCCCTTGCCATGCAAACCACCCTATTTTAGGCCCATTTTATGTACTTAAACCCTAGCCCTTTAAACTTGCAGCCCTATTATGATTTATTCACTTCCATATTCTTCTTTAATCCACATGCATTCATCATAATTCACAACACAAAACAGCCACACCAAACCACCCATTGCCGTGCCTTCCCTTGCCATTTTTAGCCATCACACTTCATCATTGCAGCCACCATTCACCCTAGTTGTCAATCACATACTTTCCCATTGTATAATTCATCCACATGTATCTTTAATCATTCACTCACAAGCTTTCCCAACAAACAAATCAGCCACATGCACACCTAATCCCCTATTGCCGTGCATCCCTTAACAATTCCAGCATTCCACCAATTTTTCCTAGCTGTTTTTCACATGCATCCCCTCACTCTTTAATCATTTCCAACCTAGCAACCCCTTTAATCATTCATCCTAGCTGCCATTAACATGCTCACCCATCCATTCTCTCCCTATAAAACCATGCAATGCATTCATACAATGGAGGGGAATTCACCACAAAACAATCACACAACACACCATCACAAAATCCCATTCTTTGCCGTGCATATCTCTTCCATTTTCTGCATATTTTCTCTTCATTGCAATCATTCCCCACTCCATTCCACATACACCTAAAGCCCTAAACATTTCCTTAGACCTTGTGCTACAACAAAGAGGAAGAGAAGAGGGCCTAAACGTTCATACAATTCAAGTTTGAGTTGTTGGAATGTTTAGGTGTTTCTTTGATTTCAATGTTTAAATTCAATTCTCTTTGTCTTATAAGTATGAGGAACTAAACCCCCCTTTAGCTAGGGGGTGATTCGAAACTATGTTTATGCTTGCAATATGAATTGATTACCTTTGGTTGGAATTTCATAAGTTGTGGATTCAATTTGTTTAACCGTTTGATTGATAACTTATTTATGTATGTTTATTGAGAGTGCACGCTTAATTTTCATGCATAAATATGACGCTAGAATATAAGTGAGTTTCACCTAATCGTTATGAACTTATATTCACAAGTAGTGGAGGTTGCTTATAAACAATCGCGTTAAATGAATTCTTGGCACTAGTTTCATGCTTTTCATAGTAACGAATGCCTCGTCAACACTTATAGTTTTCATGATGCTTAATGATCTTTGATTGTATCTTTATTGTGCTTTTCACGTAAAGGACTTTTGGAGAATGTTGTGAATTGCGTTGCGCAAACCCATCCAATTCATTAACTTAAGGAGAACTTGACGGTTAATTTAAGCGGACCTAATTAACCTAGGGTGTTGAGTTTCATAATTTATCGAAAGACCAACTGAGAATCGATCTTGTATTGCAAGTGTGACATGTGTGGAGAAGAACCCCTTAAGCTATTCCATCATCCATATTTTTCATCGCATTCATATTTACATTTTGCCCTTAATTATAATCTGTCCATTTAATTTAATCTCGTCAAAAACAACTCAATTCACCCCCCCATATTTTGTTAAAGTCTTAGTCGTTCAAATCTATCTTATTTTATGCTTTTAAGTATTTGGAGTCTTTTGAACTTGTTTTGAGTCTTTTGGTTTGTCTTAGTGTTTTAAAAGTTAGTTTTATTTATTTGAGTCAAGTGTTTAGCATCCCTAGTTAATCCCCGGTCTAGAACGATCCCTACTTGCATCATTACTACAATTGTCATCAATAGGGTTTAATTTGTGTGTCAAGTAATTTTCACATCAGATGGGCTTTACTATCTTACACCAAGACAAAACCCCCATCTTGCCAACCACATTCATCATACCAATAGCCTCTGGCATAGGCGACTCGGACACCCATCATCCGCACCTTCACTTTCGTTAGCCAAAAATAATGTTTGATTCCACACACATTTGTGAAGTTTGCCCTTTAGCCAAGCAAACTCATCTACCATTTCATAATAGTGAAATCAAATCTTCTGCACCCATCGACTTAATTCATTGTGACATTTGGGGACCTCACAAAGATCAAACACACACTGGAGCATGATATTTTCTTACTATTGTGGATGATTTCACTCGTTTCACCTGGGTACACCTTATGAATTTCAAATCTGACACACAAACGATATTGAAATCATTTTTCTCTTGGGTCAAAACACAATTCCAACGTGCCATTAAAGCTCTTCGTACAGATAATGGTGGTGAATTCCTTTCCCTACGTCCTTACCTAGACTCATGTGGCAGCTCATTCCAACATTCTTGCCCTTACACACCACAACAAAACGGAGTGGTTGAACGTAAACATAGGCACCTTCTGAATGTTGGTCGTGCTCTTAAGTTTCAAGCCAACTTAACTTTACAATTTTGGGGAGAAAGTATTCAAACCGCTTGTTATCTAATCAATTGTTTACCTGCACCCTTACTTTCCCATAAATCTTCATATGAATTTTTGCATAACACACCACCAACTTACACCCACTTACGAATTTTTAGATGCCTAAGCTATGCCACCAATCTCACACCCACCAACAGGTTTGACATCCGTGCTCGTCGTTGTGTTTTCCTTGGTTATCCTCTTGGCCAAAAGGGTTATAAGGTATATGATCTAGCCACACGTAGATTTTTTATCACACGTGATGTCGTCTTTCATGAGCACATTTTTCCTTACAAATCCTCACCACCATGGACGAAACCGACGAACATATTACTCCCATTATTCATCTTACACACGACACCACCTCATCATTAATCCCAAATCCCATGGTACTTAGCAATGAAGTTGAGCCGTCTTCACTGACCAACCTTGAGCCTTCTTCACCTAACTCAACCCTTCCCATATCACCTGCCACCACCGACACACCACATGAACTTGCCACTTACCACTTGCCGCAACATTCTCCCCCCATCCTCTACCATCTGCACCAACACCCTCCGACCAACTCCCACTACGTCACTCCACTCGTCCCACCAACCCACCTACTCACTTCAAAGATTATGTGGCTCATCATTCCACCTTGCTCACGCCATCGGAGGGCCTCTGTTTATCCATGTCTAGCACGCGATATCCATTGCATCAGTATGTTTCCTATTCCTCCTTATCTCCTGGACATCAGCATTTTGTTTTTCATATTTCACACTTGGTGGAGCCTACTACCTATGAGCAGGCTTGTCAAAACCCTCATTGGGTTGCAGCGATGAAGGCTGAACTCACCGCTCTAAAGGAAAATCAAACCTGGAGTTTTGTCCCTCTTCCATCAGGACAACTACCCATTGGCTGCAAATGGGTTTATGATAGGAGCATATTTATGTGACTTAATTGGCTTGTTCTCGTGCATTTACGTTGTGTTTCCTTAGTTATTTTAGCATTTAAAGTCATTTTCGTATGTTTGTAGGTCTTAATAACAACTTGGCAAGAAAAGTGCATTTTGGTGCATTTTGGATCAATATTGGGCTTAAATGGATTGCATGCATGAGGATGGACGTTTTGGGCATATGTGTGTGCAAGTGTGTGTGTGCAAATGCAAGGGTAAACAATGACAACTCATACACATGCAAACTCACGGCAAGAGAGGGAGAAAACACATGCAAAGACACCCACATGCAAAGTGAAAGAAAGGCACGGCAAGGGGAAGGAATTGTGTGTGTTTTGTGATTGAAATGATGCAAAGAACATGTGTGTGTGCAAGTGTAATGGTAAAGCAAAGAACATGGCATCAAACACATGGCAAAGAAAGCAAACACATGGCAAAGAGAAGAACATTGCAGCACACACATGGGAGCACACGGCATGGGCAGAAATTGTGTGTTTTGTGGTTGAAATGATGAAGCATGTGTGTGTGTAAATGTAAAGGAGAAACATGGCAGAAAATGTGTGTGTTTTGTGGTTGAAATGATGCAAAGAACATGTATGTGTGCAAGTGTAATGGCAAAGCAAAGAAACATGGCAGCAAACCCACATGCAAAGTGGAAGAAAAGCACAAGGCATGGGCAGAAATTTGGGTGTTTGGTGATTGAAATGATGAAGCATGTTTGTGTAAATGTAAAGGGGAAACATGATAACTCACACCCACACAAGATGCACATGCAAAGGAAATGGAGTGGTCCTCTCTCAAGCTTATAAATACCACCTCCCATATTCATCAACACAACAGATTTTCTCCTAGCTTTGGCCGAAACTTCCCACAACCATTCTCTCTAATTTCAGCCAAAAACCACCCCTAGCCACACCACCCATCAATCCTAAACCTTTCCATACCATTCCCCATCCATTCTACACCATAAAAACCACCCAAAACCTCTAGTGCTGCTGCTTGCAAGGAAGGAAAGAGAAGGAACATCTTGTGTCATGCCTATGCCCAAGCCTTGGGAGTGTTGGAGCGTTTCTAGGTGTTTTCTATCTTTGATTTCAATGTTTAAATTAAGTTATCTTTGTGTAATTGCGAGTATGAGGAACTAAACCCCCCTTGGCTAGGGGGGGATTCAAAACCATGTTTATGCTTGCTATATGATTTGATTACTTCCAATTGCGTTTCATGAATTGTGAATTTAATTTACTTATCTCTATGAATTAAAACTAATTTGTGTATGTTGGTTGAGAGTGCACGCTTAATTTTCATGCATAAGTTTGATGCTAGGATATAAGGAAGTTTCACCTAATCGTTATGAACTTATATTCATAAGTAGTAAAGGTTGTTGATCACAATCGTGTTAAGTAAATTCTTGGCATAAGTTTCATGCAATTCATAGTAACGAGTGCCTCGTCAATGCTTATGTTTTTCATAGAACTTAATGATTCTTGCGTGTATCTTTATTATGCAATTCATGTAGGGAACTTGTAGGGAATGTTTTGGGTTGTCGTATGCAATCATCCAACCTAATAACTTGTGGAAAAACTGAGGGTTAATT